ATTTAACATCTAATAAAGAAAATAATGATTGGCAAAACAAATGTTGCTGTGTTCAATAATACAAATAACACTGAGTAGGAGGTTTTAAATTACATAATAAACCATCAAAATACATTAGAAATGCTTAATTATTATCCAATAAGGAAATCTTTTAAAAATATAATACTACAATGCATTCCTCAGCTCCAGTTAGAAAGTTATTTAGTTTGGTTTAATGATAAATAAAACGGCAAAAGCTTAATGATAAATTATTGTAAAAATTGATTATCTTAAAAAATAATGAATTGATTTAATATTTTAGATACTCTTTTGTGATAAACCTATTTTCGTCTTTAGGTTTGATCCCTTTCGCACCTCTTATAAAATTAATTTTTATTTTTCAACACCCATTATAAATATTAGTTTATCTTCCCAGTCAATGCTATGAGAGGGCTAAAACGAATATAAAATGATTGATTATTATAATTAGCTCTTCATTAAATATTTATTAATTATTGTAAATATTCATTCTTATTATATGCGTAATGGTCTTCACCAATAAATAAGAAAAATTGTATTTTATAAACTATTCTAATTTAATTGGTAATGATAATTTTATAAAAGTATTTTGTATTTAAGATACTCTCAACTAGAGAAAGATACAAGTATCTTTTATCTTTTTAATATTTGAATAAGATATTAGTATCTGTATCTAAGACCCATTTTTTAAAATCTGTATCTGCTTTTAGATTCTTTTTCCGGAGGACCTGCCCAACTCTGACCACTAGTACGATTAGTATTTTATAATAGATGAAGAAATTCGACGAAAATATTTTTTTTCAATTAAAATTATAAAAATTGTATTGTGATAGTGTAAATCTTCTGGCAAGATTATTTTAATTTAGTCATGACCGAGTTTAAATAATTATACTAATAAATGAGTGACATTGCGTTATTTTGCAAAAAAACGTGATATAAGGTTTAAAGTAATATATACTTCTCGTTTTAGGTGATAATTGGACGAATATATTTCCTATATTTCTAAAAATTTTATGAAAATGCTTAATAATCTTAAAAAAGGAAGAGTTTATATAAAATTTTATAAATAATTTTTTAAAAAGAAAAAACTAATATGATTTTGGAATAACAACAATTATGCCTAATCTTGGTCCACTTCTTTAAAATAGGGTTTAAAACGCATTCAATGTTAAAAGCTTTTTTAACATTGCAAGCTTTTTAAAGGCAGCGTTAGAGTATTAGACCAGATCAGGCCACTATAATTAATATTATTTTTTAAAATAAAAATTGTAAACTCAATTTATTCATTTTTAATTATGTTGGTGATAGATCAGACCACCAGTTAGAAATAGAGAATTGTACATAAATAATATTTTAAAAAATCCAGTAGACAATATTTTTAGTTAAATAGATAAAATTATATATTTTTTATAATAATATTAAATTTATAAACTTTATTATAATTTTAGGTCAATCAGAAAAATCAAGTTCTTTTGAAGTATTTATCATTTTAATAATCTAATTAAATTGCCATTAACTTTATAATGATAGAGGGATTTTTCAATTATATTCAAAGTGACGCTTAAAATGAAATTGGCTTACAAAAGAATAATAGGGGAAATCAGAGCTCGGTGCAAAGGGCTTGTCATTCAGCGAATTTTATTTTAAAAATAGTAGCATTCTATAATATATAATTGGGAGGAAAAAAATATTTTATATCCCTTAGCTACCTAAATCTTTCTTTGATAAAATGTATTTTGGGGGTCACACTGTAAATATATTACTTCACGATAGTGTTATATTCAAAACAGTTGAAAAATGATAAAATGAACATTATGTGAAATTTAAAACCTAATGTATTTAAAAAGTTTCATACTAAATATACTTTTAGAAACTATTAGTAAAGCTAGTAGAATCAGTGTTAGTTGGATCAGTTGTATTGTAGCTGAAGATATTGTAAATTGCTCTTAATTTGCTTATTAAAACTGCTTATTAATGGAATTATGGATTTTTTGAGGATAGGTTTTTTTTACTTCTTTATTTTTTCCAATTTTTCTATCATAAAAAAATATATATTTAAAACAAAAAAAATGAAGAATGAAAATAATAATTTTTCCAATATTATTTTTTCTATCAATTAATTTTTTTTTCCCGGTCATAGGTTACTTTATTTGAATATTTACTGATAATATAATAAAAATAAAATAAATATTTATTATTTTAATATAAAAGATATTATATATGATAGTATATTTATTTTACATGATATAATATAACATTAGTATTCAATTCATCATGAATATTAGAAATTTAAATTAATTCTATATAATAAAGCAATTAAATTATGGAAAAAAATAAAATAATTCTCTTATAATTTTTATTAAAATATTTTTAGATTTCAAATATTGTCATGTATATTTATATATGAATGTTTTAAATATAAATTATAATATAATATTCTATCAATAAAATATTGTGCTCAAAATAAAGGAACAAAAAAATAATTAATTTATCTTATATGACACAATAAAGATAAAATTTGATTTAACTAGTCCGCGATGATTCTACAAGCTCCTGGTTTGGAAGTTTGTTGATGAAAAATCCTACATTTAGTAGAAAACAATTTAAGCAAAAAGTATATATTTTTAAAAAAGTTAGGTATTTTATAAATTCAGATATTACAATTATTCTCGAATTTATGATAATTCTGACCATTGCGCCGATTAGCCCGTTATAAATGAGATATAATATATATTATTAATTTTATAAATGTCATATACAATACATTATTATGATGATTGACATTATTGATATGTAATATACGAATTGCGATAGATATGTCACACACGAATTACCATATTGATATATATATGTAATAAACGAATTTTATATTGGTTTTATATTGGCGACGAGGAAGGAATGGAATGATCCAATATACGACAAAAAACAGCGCACGATGAACACAGTCAAATGAGGGAATTCGAGATTGCACAACCGGTATGGGTGCACAAGCCCTGGTCTTCCTTATTCTGTTTTGTCAATGCAATTTTATATATACAAAATTTTAGTATACGGTCTCCTCACTTAAAACTCCTACTTTAAAAGAGATTTCCTCTCAACTTCGCTAACCTAAAATCGAAGCTATAAGAAAGATGAAAATAGATGAGATGACCGCGTCATAGTTTGAAACAAGATTATATAAAAAATGATTTTTAAATTTTGGTAGATCCCTTTTAAAATCTTCAGATACTCTTTTCCGCAGATGAGCTGTAAGATTTAGTCTGCCTATGACTTAACTGCCAAATTGATTTGTCTTACTTAGGCTAAAACTACTTTTATAGCAATGGCAAGTATTCCAAATTTTATCATCACTGATTTTCGCGGCACAGAAAGTATAACAACGGATCTATACTAGAGTCCTGCATAGGACGTTTTTACAATCCAAAATATTTTTAGGACATTAAATCAAATAGGGCGAAGCAAGATTAAAATTGAAGGGGGGTAATTTTGGTTAAATTTTTTGGTTTTGAATTTGGTAGAAGGGTAGGGAGTAATGTCGTAATTGATTTAGGAGTAGGTCCTTGGATTTAGTTCTCCCAGATAAAGCAAAAAACAGGTCCACCTTTGGACCTCTATTTACCAAATCCCGGGGCTTAACTTTTTTTGATGAGCGAGCAAAGCGTTCTATTTTACAAGATAACGAGTAACGCGTTCCTTTTCACAAGTTAACAAGTAACGGTAACTCGTTCCTTCTTCCAAACACAACCTTTGAAGTAATGTTTACAGCATTACAGGATATTTCCCAAATATCTCAAATTAGTGGTTAAATGGCTCGAATTGAGCCGATTTTAAAAAACGGCTAACTCAATATTTATCGATAAAATAACGCAAACAGATTTTGCTCAAAAATGGGACTTTGGACATTTATTAGTGAAATCTCGAGGGATAGCCAATATTTTTCTGGTTAAAATATTGAGTCAGCCGTTTTTAAAAATCGGCTCAAATTGTGCCTTTTAACAACACTATCTCAAATCTTGTTAGATTGTAACATTTTTACTACTTTTTTCAGTAAGAACGGTTAGATTATATATTTTTTGTATATTAATTTTACGAATAGTTCCATGACTAACAATTCAATATTTCAAAATTTATACCTAGGAACCCATCTTTATGGAATTTGAGTATCTTTATGAGTTAGATACCGCGCATTATTTAATATAAATGTAACTTTAAAAATCATTTTAAAAATAGGAGACGATAATATTAAACATGAAAACAGAAGATGCAAATCTTTAATTTATGTGAAAAATATGTAATTTAAATAGTATTGGTTATCAATTTGACCCAAGAAATTTGAGTGGAGTTCATTTTAATTTGTATACTATTTACCAAAATATAAATATTTTTAATAATTTATAGATTTTATACTTAATATATAGAGCATGTTATGGCGATTTAATTTGATTTATATTATTTTTATTTCAATTAAAAATCAAAATAGACATCTTCAAGCGATTTGACGACTGATACATCGATCACAATGGATAAAAAAAAACTTGACAAACCTATAAATATCAAGAAAAGTGAAGATACAGATAAAATTATCAAAACCACTGATATCAAACATATTTCCACAATAAAAGAAACTAGCCCGGTAAAGCCCGATCATTCAACTATAATATCACCTTCTGAGGTGTCTGAAAGTTTAGAAAGTCCTGATAGCTACCAAAGCAAATCTAGTCAACTTCCTTATTTAATCGAAGATTATGACACTAATTTAAACCAATACAATCAATACATGGTTGCTAATGAAGGTCGAAAGAATGAAATTATAGATGATCAAAAAATCAAATTTTTGCCACAAAAAGATTATTACAATGATGTGGAGAATTATTATCCTATAAATAATACAAGAACTAATGTCCCATTAGCGCCTGTATGGTACAAACACGCTCTGTCTTAATATAAATAAACTTGTGCATTTTCGTTTTTATTGGGTTGAGTTGTAGTAAATAATTACAAGTTTTATATTGCTTTCAATATAATTTAAAAATAACATAAACTATAAATTAAATATATTATTATGTTTGAGACGTGTGTTTTTTTAGAAGTTTTTTTTGGTGTTGGTGAACTGATTGACAAAAATCAACATGAATTCTTCTATCATCAATTAAAACATTTTCCATAGTTAGATAAGCTTGCTCACAATTTTCAACCTTCAAAATAAAATGTTTTTAAATAATAACTTTAAATATATAACATTAATTTTACTTTTTCATATTCAACAAATCCATAGCCAAGAGAATTCCCGGTTAATTTATCGTAGACTATCTCACAACTATACAAATATACATGATATATAAATATATTATAATAATTTCGTACACCTTTTGATGTTACCAAATCTAGCAAATATGATTTTAAGATCTTTGGACACTGTAATAGGATTCAATTTGCATACAAACAGAATATTTTCTTTTGGTTTAATACTGGCTTTGGGTAAATCACCTACTATTTCCAAAATTTTCGCTCTTGTCTAGATAAATTAATTATGCAAGTTATATAAAACATTCAACTTCATTTTATTAATGAACTATTTAAATGTAAAATATAAAGTATAAAAAAACAATAACGTTGAGGCCCTGGATAAATGAAATATCTCATATTTTCCCCATCTGTTTTATAGACGTATAAATATAAGTGTAGCATCTATTAAATTCTGGTCTTATCTCATTTTCCAAAATGGACAATTCAATCTAATACTGAAAGGTTGGGGTTAGGGTTTTTTAAAACCAATACCTGTGTTATAATAATTATAAGGAAATTATATAAGACGAATATGTAATAGCTACCATGCTCCATCCATAATTAACTTATGAATGGAGTTGGATTCAAGAATACAGATAAGAGCCGAAACAAGTTGGGGAAACCAGGGCTAGTCGGCACAAGGGGCCTGTCGGTTAAGCAGATTTTATTTTAAAACCAATAGAATTCTATTATATCCATATTTGGGAAGAAAATAATTTAGATTATTTAGCTATTTAAATTTTCATTTGTTATGACATGTTTTTGACGTGAAAATTACAATATTTTCACTTTACATTATTAGGTTGTATTAAAAAATTAAAAGTTTAAACATGACAGAATGGACAATATAAGAGAATTAAAACTATATTTTAATATTTAGGAAAGTCTCATATTGATATGTAAGGCATACATATATGTTAATTTTCAGTGCAAGTAAATATTATTATGTGATATTTTGTTTCACAAATAAATATTATACTGTAGTATATTTTTCAGTGTAATATTTTTTTTATTTTTAGAAATATAAAGGTAGAAGGTAAATAGTTATCTTTTAAGAATATAACTTGTAATTAATACCTTTCAAAAGTAATTATCAATAAAATATAGGCTTAACCTATGGCCTGTAAAATATTAAAGTAAATTTCTTTCCTATTCTTCCTTTTTTGCCTGATTTGAAAATCATAATTATAAAAGGAATTTAAAAAATAAGAAAAGTTTTAAAGAAATCAGAGAGGGAAATATTTATTAAATATCAATTTAAAGCATTACATTAAAATAGAGAATAAACATAGAGATTAGAAATCTGTAATGGGCAGGTTTTAATCCAAAAGCCCGCCCGCCTATATTCTAATTTAGCCCGTTTGCCCTCAGTTTTAAAACAATCACCTGCCTGCCCAATGTATTAAAATTATTTGTTGGTTAGTTTGACTCTTTATTTATTTTTCTTAAGTTATAAAATATGCGATATTATGAAATAAAATTTTATTAAAAATAAATATAAGCTCGTTTTGTTCATTTTGGCAAAAAATATTTTAAATTAGCCTATCTGCCGACTCGCCCATTGCTTAAAAAGTTTACCCCACCAACCCACCCGCCTGCTATTTAAATAAATTTAACCTGTCATCCTAAAACCGCCAAAAATATGGGATGGCGTTGAAAAGCGGGTTAAAACCCATCCCATTGTAGGCCTCCATTATACACTAATAATCTCACATTTTTAAATTTAGAGATAATTATTCCTTTATTGCACCCATTGATTTTATTCGGCCTAACTAAATGTTTTTCGTGATGGGAGGGGATGCCTTCTTATAAAAAATTTAAAAATGTAATTAAATATTATCAACTAGTCGTTTTTCATAAATAAGTTCTTTTAAGAAAAATATATCAAATGAGTTAAATTTATAAATTTATGGTAACTTGTAATGTTTTATATTGGGAGTTACTTTAAAAAAATTTTTAGTTACTCAAATTTGTCTAATTTTTAAAAATATAAGAAGCAACTAGAACCAGTTACTTTTTAATGATGTAACTCATAAATGTAACTGTAATTTAGCAATACTGGTTGTATTGTTAAAATAAAATAATATTTATTATTATACTAAAAAAGTAAGGTATGGATAATATTATGTGCGATTCAATGTCAAATGAGCAAGAAAATCGCTATTTTGAGCTGACTTCTTTTATTTAGATAAAAATTAATAGGCACGTTATATATGTTCTGGTTACATCCAAATTTTTTTTAATTCATTAGCAATTATACTACGTGAGATAATGGTGATTAAAGGTATTAAATTCGGTTTTTTAAACCTTTTGCTGAGGTTAATTAGTTATAAATTATTTTAAAAATGTTTTTTTTCAATATGCATGATATTACTCGTAAATGATTATATTATTTCGCACAAAATAAAAAGTGAAACACAGAATAAAATATAAAGCTAAGAAATTATACTCAATTTCAGATGTTTTAAAAGTAAAAATTTTAATTTTCTCAAATTTTTTTATTGAATTTCTCAAAAGAAATACTAAATCACTCCGAAATTTTTGCTATTAAAGTATATTCTTTTCAGATCTAAGTAAATCAAATAAAATGTTGAGCATTATTAGTCTACGCTCTTGTTGAGTTTTATTAATCCTTTCGGGTCTAAGTGGGTTGGGGGAAGATGGTACAATTTTTTGAGATAATATCTTGACTTTGATATCAAATGAAAGCTAATAAAAAGATCGATTGATTATATTGGGGTAAAAAGTGCATAGTAAAATATCTCAACGTGGGTATCAAATGAAATCTAATAAAGTTTAGCTGATAACATTAATACTCATCTCTAGGGCGGATGTAGGGGGAGGGGGTGGTTTAAAAATTTTATAGCATTATGTCGACAACATGGGTATCAAATAAAAGTTAAAAAAGTAATCAATTGATTTATACTCATCTCGTCAGAGTGGGTATGATAGGGTTCGGGGTATATCTTACCATAATATAAACATAATCAGGAGATCGATGATTACATTCATGCTTATCACGCCTCCGATCAAAAAGTTTCTAGCATAATAATTTGAAAAGGAGCAATTTATTATATGGCTAATTATAACTATTATTCAGGGTGGGATGGAACAGCTATAAAATTCTAACATAATAATTCAATTGGTATCTTATAAAGGCTAATATAAAGATCCACTGATAACATTGCAATTTTACTTATCACGAAGATTCCTGAATGTTTAATTTACTCTATTTTTATTTAACCAAAACCATATTTACAAATCAAAAGATTCACTTTTTAGAATAAGCCCTTGTAACCAGTAATTATATTTTGAAAAACTGGCAAAGACTATGACGAAGGATGAGGGGGGGGGGGACAAAATATCGTCATTGAAATTAGAGGATGCAGAAATTCATGGGAAATGGAAGAGGTAATATTCTATTAAAAATTTATAATCATATACAAATTCTTAAAATCAATAGTACTAAGATAAAATATTTCTCAGCAATTAAGTAACTAGTTCTGTGTGTTACATATATTTTTCTGGGCAATTTTATAAGCGTTTCTGTTTTATCCCTGAGCAATTGTGATTTTTATCTGAGCAAAAAATAATTCTGAGCATTCAGTATTTTTCCTGAGTGTTTAAGAATCTTTTTTTCTGAGTATTTGAGTAGGACTCATGAATCAATTATATTATTAAGATTATTTCAATGATAAAAAGTCTTTTATTGCATCGAAATGATTAGCGCCATCTGTAATTTTTTATAAATTATTCCTGATATTTTTTTAGATTATTATCCAGCCATGCAGTAAAATAATAGATAAAATTTGAAAAATTGGAGCTCATGATATATTCGGAATATTAATTTTAAATTATCAAATAAACATAAGATTGGCAATATTTTAAAAAAAATTAGTCGTTTCTTACAAAATTATCAATTATTGACTTAGTCATTATATTAGATTCAATATTTGGACTATTTAGATTTCAATTTAAAACCAATTATTTAACATCAGCAAAAGGGTTAAAACAGATATTTGCACCCTTATCCTAATTAACTCATGTAATATGATTGCTAATGAGCTAAAATATCATTTTTGATATCTAGAACATATATAATGTACCTACAAATTTTTATTAAAACTGAAAGAGGTCACTAAAAGGTATTTGATTTGGCATGGAATCACTCATAACATTATTGAGAACATTTTGTAAAGATATATTTTATTTGGTTTCAATGGTAGAAGTTGGCACAGTGCAGCCTGTTAAATTCTATTTGTTTTATGATGTCCACAATTATTTATACCCAGCCTGGCTAGTCAACTATATTCCACATATCTGGCCTAGTTCATAATAATTTTTTATAAAGGGAAATGATAAAAAATTCCCCAATCATCAATTTTAAATAATTTTCATGGCCCAATCCATGGAGAGTTTAATGATTAAAAGTTTTACTTATAAAAATATTCACTGACAATTTGTCAAGCCTGCCCTAAAAATATTTTAACTGAGACCTCAATATATTTTAAATTAAATAGCCTGACAATTTATATTACATTTTATTAGTTATATATAGCTATTTTATAAAAATAAAGGTTTTAAATTTTTATTCATGATTATTTTTCAATTTTAACGGTGGTCAGTTATCAATTCAATGGGTTAATTTAATTTTCCTAATATTCAAAAATAATTTAATATAGTACTTTAGCTGCTTTATCTTTTTCCTTTTCTAGTTTTTCATTAACATCCTTTTCATTTTCTTCCTTTATTTCATCATTAATTGATATTCTTTCAGAAAATAGATGTTTATAAGAGGGTAATGGTGAGGAATCAGGCATAAATTGTCTTAGTGTAGGAGGATCTTCAAAGGGGTCACTCAAAATAATTGTATGGTTTAACCTACAACTCCAATAGAAATTAGTTTTAAAAAAATAATCAACCAAACATCCTGATATGGTTGATCCCTATCATCACATAAAGTATCATTTAATTTTGATAAAACATCCAATCCTTCAGTAACACACCCAAAAACAAGATGCTTATTATCTAAATAAGATAAACTATCACCAATAGTAATAAAAAACTTTATAATAACATTTAACTAAATAATTAATTTTAAGAAACTTGAGATCCAAATTCATTTTTCCCATTATTTACCATGGAAACATGACCCTTAATATGCTTGATTGGAGGCTTGCAATCTAATTTCACATATTTATAGGAATCCTTTTGTAGTAGTTTGCTAAAATTAATGTTAATATTTTGAATGCAAAATTTTCATACTTAAATATAGAATCGCCCCCAGTTTTATTATTTGTAGGATCTCCAGTTTGAGCTAAATAATTTTTCTAAGAGAAATTATGATGAATAATTTTTTTTACTTGGATTGTGTGAAATATGCAATAATTATAATATTTAATTTTACATAATTTCAAAAAATTAAAACAAGCTAAATATATTTTTAAAAGGGATATATAAAATTAAGATATTACTCAGCTTTCTTTTTGTAATATAGAGATCCAATGTTATATCTCCAAGAGTAGTTTCTAAAATCACTGACATTAGATTGGATATATGTAATAGTGCTAGACCCTATCAGGTCTGTCGAAATCTTTTTATTTATCATCTTAGATACAGACAGGGTTGGGCAAATTTTCAGAAAATTGTATTCGGATACAGATACAGATACTTTATAAAATTTTGTATTTAAGATACAAGATACTAGATACTTTAGAAAAATTTCAATAAGATATAAGATACAAGATACTTGTATTTTTTTTTAAAGTATCTAAGATACAAGATACTTTTTTAAAAAACTTTAAATAGTAAAAATCAAAATGTATAAAGCTTTATTTTCTTATCTATAATATAAATTCATATAAAAATATTTAAAATAAATTGTAGAAAATAACAAATTTATTATAAAAGATAATGCGATATTCCATTTAATAATTATATAATTAGTAAATAATAATAAATCAGCATCATATATCAGCATTATTTTTTAATATTATTAATTTTTCAAATGATTTATCGTTCAATCTTTGACGATTTGGTCTATTAACCATATTAGCAAAGCTAAATAATCTTTCAACGGGGGCTGAGGAGGGTAATATTGTTTTATATTTAATAAATATTTCTTTTATATATTTATAACTATTTAACATATTTATACTCCGCCTGTCATCTTTCATATAATTTAGGACCTCTATTTCATTATCATTTATTGAATTATTAGAATTGGATGTGGTACTTTTAAGGTAAAAGTAATCATCATCTTCATCGATTGAAGATTTTGTTGAAGTATTAATTTCAATATTATTTTTAAAAACAATTAAAACTCCATGTAATAACAAATCCTGAAGGTATTTTTTTTTCTTTTTCACCATCAATCCAACGATTTTTAAAATCGGGATGAGAAATAGTTGCCAAAAATGCACTTTTAAACAAAATCATATATATTTTTAAATCTTTTTTTTAAATAATTTTCTATGGCAATAACTAATGGTTTGCAAAATTTTAGATTGGTTTGAATTAAATTTGTAATTTTTTTTAACAACATTTAAATTTGGAGCTGATTCTTCATAATAGCAGTTGATTTCACTCTGTATAGCCAATGGGGCCATTATATTGCAATATTCTTCTAAATATTGAATTTCAATATCTCTTAATTTAGGAAATTCTAATTTTTGACATAATTTAGGAAGTTGGCCTTTAAATTTTAATAAACTATGAAGATTATCATACAAACTATTCCATCTAGTGTAACAAGGTGTAACTAATTGTTTTCCTAAAACTGCTTTGATAAGTTCTGCAGTTTTAGGCCTATTATTTGCATTCCATAGCTTAGTACATTTAGCTATTGCAGGATGATGAATTTTAGAAATGTTAGGAGAATCCTTAATAGCTCTCTCGACATCTGTTGTGGCAATTAGACTTATCGTATGGCACAAACAACGAATATGTTGAGGCAATGTTATTGAGGCTTCTTTAGACCCTTAAATAAACAAATAAATAATTCGAATTCTATACATTCATCATCATTGATGTCAAAGTCATTCTCTACAGCTTCCATAGAATATCCAAACTGCTTGAAAGCTTTTTTAAAGTTAGAGCCGTTATCTGTAACAGTTGCTATATATTTTTCGTCAATACCAAAGTCACGATGAATCTCTTTATTATGATCATCTTGAAGTACTTCAAAAAATTTGCCATTAAGTATGCTTAGTTTAAATTTATTGTTATAATTTTCGGTTGAAGAATCATCTGAAGATGAAGATAAACATATTATTCTATTTTCTTCTTCCATAATTTTAAAATAGACAGATATAAAACGATTCAAATATGGTAGTTCTAATTGTTAGCAAATTGCTATATAACGACCAACGTCATATGTCAAAAATTATCTTAAAATATCTAAATTTTGATTAAATTTTTCATTTAAATCTTAAAACAATATCATTTTAAATTTTAATACTATTTAAATTAACCAATATAAATTTTTTTTAAAGTATCTGTATCTTTTTTAATACAAAGTTGGTTAAGATACAAATACTTTTAAATAATATGTATCTTAGATACTGGATACAAGATACTTTCCAAAATTTTAAAAAAGATACAAGATACTGATACAAATATCCGCGATACTGCCCAACCCTGGATACAGATACTAGTATCTTTTTCAAAATATCAAAAAGATACAAGATAAGAGATACTTGTATCTTTTACCTAATTAGAGTATCTTAAATACAAGATACTTTTAAATTATCATTATCAATTAATAGTTAATAAATTACGGTTTTTATTATTTATTTGTGAAGAACATAACATACGCATATAATATGAATGAATATTTATAATAATTAATAAAGTATTTAATGATGAGTTCTTAGAATAGATAGGGAAGGGAGATAGCAAGTTCATAATGCCATAATAACTAATTCATTGTAAATAATGGAGGTTTTAATTGAATTTATTATCTAAAAAATAAATTATTTATATTTACAAAATATAGATAGTTGGTAGTAGATATAGATTAATTTAAGTTATCCTTTATAAATTCTTTGAAAAGAGTATCATTAAATAAATAGGTGAAAATAATGATAAAGAGACAGGCGGCGATTTTTTAAGGGGGGTAGGCAAAGGTTTTTGAAGGGGGTTTGCATCCAGTGAAAATCCTGTCATGCAGACGCTGATTATAATTATTAATAAAAGATCTATAAAATTACTAAATAATATAATATATCAAATATAATTTTTTATAAAGTGTGTAATTTTAATTTATTTATCTTAATAGAAGTAAAATATAATTATAAAACTAATGATAAAATTAAATCATAAATAAAAAAATTAAAGCACAATATAGTGGAATATTATGTGTCGTAGATTTACAGTATATCTAATTTTATCAATTATCATATGACAATCAATTCATTTTTACCAATATAACGAATTATATATTTTACAGGAAACTTTAAAATATTGATAAGGACATCAGAAAATATCCTTTAAAGACATTGTGGGATGAATGATATGAAGATAAATTTTTGTTTAAAATAAATAGATGGCGTTAAATGATTTAATGCAAATTGCTGCTGTATTTATTATCAAGAGCATTGATTAGTAAAATTTGTTAAAATATTAACTGTAATATATTCTCTAACTGTCAAATATGTCTGTAAAGTGGAATTTTATCTAGTATTTTGTAACTAACTCTATATAATAGAGGAATATCAACTATATGTCTACTTACTTTTTATAAATAAATTTCATATACTTGTTTGGAATAAATTATTACCATGCTTTTATATTAGTGCATATACAAGTAATTTTATATATTTTATATAAACATAAAAATATATTTCATATTTGTTCCAGGCTTATTTTTTTAATTAAAAATTAACCTCCTATCTTGTAAAAATATTTTATGACTATATATAGACTAAGGTAACCCGGCCGAAGGCCTACCCCAAATGGGGTCTGGGGGCGAAGCCCCCAGTATTTTTTCAATTTCCCCCCTTAGAAAAATCCTGGCTACGCCTATGCTCTGTTTCTACATTTAGAGCATCTTTTATTAATATATTTTGAAATTATTTGCTTTTATCATCTGACTCAATCCATTAAAATATGGATGTGATATTGGTGTCAAAAAAGCCTCATTATATTCAAATCATAGGAAAATATTTTGTTAAAATCTATTGCCCATGCCACCTTAGTCAGCTTTTAATAAAGGTAGCAATATTGTAAACTTGAATATTTAAAATAACCTATGCCCCTTTTAACCATACATAAATAATATACTTTAAAATGTTTAACAAAATTTGTGTTTAACCATTTATCACTTTTTTGTTTATACAGGTTTTACATCTAGCCTATACGTTTAACTAACTATTTAAAAATTTCCATATAAAATTTTAAGATTTGAACTTGATTCGCGGGAACTTATTTCCACAATTTAAATTTTACTACCATGAGTGTTAATCATCCTACAAATTAAAAAAATGTTACATATAATTGGTAATGATTATCGAGTTACATTTATATATAAAATATAATCTTTACTTATTTCGTTTTGGGGTTGTTACTTTTTAACTATCTACGTTAATATTAGTTGTAAATTTTCCAGCTAATTTTGATTGTCATTATATATAAAATATGGTGAAAAAAAAAATAAGGAAATTAATACAAGTTTCTCGAAGAAAATAAGATATATATATATGCTGTGATATGTAAATATTTAAACATGAATATTAAAAAGAAAATGTATCTATATCTTTTGTCAAGAAATTGAAAATGAAAAAGATACAAGATTCTTTTTAGAATAAAGGATCTTAGATACAGATACTAGTATCTTATTAAAAATGTCAAAAAGATACTGAGTACAAGATGCAAAAGTATCTTGTATCTTAGATATAAGTATTCGCGGTATTGCCCAACTCTGAAAATATATAAAATATCTGCATTATAAACCTTAAACGGCAATTTCGATTTATTATAAAATGATTTTCAACGTTAACCCTGATAAAGAGAACTTTAGCCATTGCAAAGGCTTGTTAATTGATCACTTCTAAAGAATCGAATCACGAATAAAAAAGTTCTGAATATAGCGTATATGTATAATAGAATTTCAATATATTTTTCTATTTATTTCATGAGTAAATTATGTGTAATATTTAAATTTTTAATTGTATAAATTTAAATATAATAATAACACATATAAAATAACTCATAATAAGATTATGTTAAGATTTTTATAATATTTGCCTAGCCTATATAAAATTAAAATAAAGAAATAAATTTTAAATATCTAATTAATATTAATAGAATTTTTGAATGAGATGCTTTTACAAATTTTTTCAAAGTTTTAGAAATTTTAAATACCTTCTTGGAGGCTTTAAAACAGTCTTTTATAATATTTATGTTTCATTAATTTAAAGCATAACATTTAATAAGTTATAACATGACAAAGCAGCCGATTCATGGAGGCGAAGGGGGTGGGGGTCTCGCCCCCTATTGACAAATCTCTATATATGCTAAGTCTTCATAGAAGAAAAATTGAATTAATATATCTCATCTTGAAAAG